GGCAGGCAGTGCTGGGCTCTCAGGGCTCAGTCCCAGCCCCTGCAGCCTCCTGGCAGAGATGGCTGCAAAGCCCTGTGTGCATTCCTGACTGCCCTGCACTAACAAATCAGGGAACTTATTCAGGCTTTCCCAGCCCCCTCCAGAGACACCCACGCACCACACACAGGCTTCTCAGCTTTTATTCGTTTATCCAAATCAGCAAATGCTGTTTTTCCATGGACAGCTCACCTTAGGGTAGCACCAGACTGCTGCTGCCTGCACAGCCGCCCTAGCTGCAAGGAATGCTGCTTGACATCCTGCAGTTAAGGAATTGCCTCCTCAGGGATGCTCTGCTCTCAAAGATCCCCTCCCTGCTGGGCCCTGGGTGCTCTCACAGCCCTTGTGGAAGCCTTTGCACCTACAGCACCTGTTTGGGTCCTTCATGCTTCACACACACACTGCCACATCTCACCCCTTTTCCCAGGCATTCTAACCTATTGGATAAATCCTGTTAATGCCCCAAACCTCGATTCCAGCCTCAGACTTAGCAAAGCAAGCTTCAAATTCCTGTAGTCACCTTCCAGCCACTGCTCTGCACACCCCCCCATTCTGAGGGCACTGCTGAGCCAGGGCTTTTCCCTCAGGAGTATTTTGGGGAGTTTGCCTTAAATTCAAGGGAAGCAGCACTAACACCCCCATACTACTGCAGCCAGAGGCAGCACCAAGGCTAGGGAGAGACCTTGGAACTCCCCAGTGACAGGGAATGAGAGACAAAGCCTGAACACTGCTCCCTCTGAGGAGTTTCCAGGGGTGCTGCAGGAGGACAATTCCCTCCTGCTCACCCAACTCGTCAGGGTAAAGCCCCTGCAGCCTCACCCTGCAGCTGGCACTGGGTGCCCACGCGCTCCATGGTGTTTGCTCAAGATGAAAAACCAGTGCCCTGTGCTGAGGGTGGGAGGGCAGCACAGGCACGAAGCAGCACCCAGAGAGGGGGACACTGCCACTGTGACACACAGGGGCACAACTGGGAGGGCCAGGAAGCACAGGCACTGCAGGCAGGCCAGTTGTCACCCCTGCCTGAAGGGATTCAGGCAGCTCAGCAGAAGATGGAGTTGGATGGGTTTTTATATGGGGATCCATGCCCAATGTCCAAATAGCAGAAGGAACACACAGTTCCATCCTCTTCCCAAAGGGACTTCTCATGATTCACCAAGGTCATCACTCAAAGACTTCAGCTTTTGATTGTTGTGTTTTTCCCCCTCAGAGGATTCAGGAATAAATGGGAACACAGAGTCACTGGAAACCACTCTACTCCAAGGTCCCTGGCACCCTCACCCACTCCCAGGGATAGGCCTCTCCTTGGCAATGCCCACCCACAAATGCTCTGGCAGAACTCTTTCCCAGCACTAAAGCCTGCACATCAAAGGCAGGCAGTGCTGAAAAGCAAAGCCTGGCAGCACAGCTCTGTCTGGGCTGTGGTTCCTTTGCCCACTCCCATGGGCACAGAGCTATCCCTGTTCCTGCTCTGCTGCCTTGGCACTCCCCTGCTTGCCAGAGGCAGGGCAAGCTCAGCAGTCCCAGCTCTCCCTTCTCTCTCCTGCCTTTCCAGGGGATCCCTGCCTTGCTGGCATCTTGGCACACCAGGCCAAGGACCTCTGCCATAGAGCACTTGGGGATGGAGTAACAGTGATGTCCTGGCTCTGGCCAGGACAGGGTTCATTTCTGCAGGACCAGGACCTCTCCTGTACACTTTTGTTATTACTGTTACTGTTCCTTATCTCACTGCTGTTTCCAGTAAAACGCTTTTACTTCTACCAGTGATCTTCACCTTTTGTGCCTCCAGTTCTCCTCTCCATCCCACCCCAGGGGAGAGGAGGTGAGGAGGGGGAGTGGGTGAGTTGGGAGTGTTTCAGTGAATGCCATTCCTAAACCACCAACGTGATCACACCCAGCCCCTGAGGGCAGCAAGAACCCAAAGTGAACCAGAGTGGGCTGGTTGCAAGAACAGGCTTTGAAGGCCAGATCTGGGGTGGCAGCAGAGCAGACATTCCAACTTGGAACAGGGCTGCAGTTTGAGCTCCACTGCAGCTCAAAGAGCCAAACATCACAAACTCCACTCCCTTCACCCCTCCACAACAAACTGCCTTTTTTATGGCCTCAGATCCATTCTGTGGGCCAATCCCCATGGCACAGGAGGAGCCAAGGACACGTTTCAGAGGCCCTGGGGAGCTTGGGATACAGAAAAGGAAAATAAATTGATTGCTGTGTGCAACTGTCACCTTTCTACCAGCACCCAGACCTGAACAACAAGGGCTGTGGGAAGCTTAAGGCAAACAAAACTAGGCTTGGAGCTTCTCCTCCAAACCTAAACCTTTCAAACAGAGATCCTGGGAGCCTTGAGACAGGCCCCAAGAGCAGCTGGCTGTTGTCCTCTGCTGTCCCTCGTCCTCCCAGCTGTGTTCTCAGGTGGCCACGGCCTCCTGGTGCCCTGCAGGCCGCGGGGCCCTCGGCAGAGCCGCGGTGCTGCCGGCACGGCCCCTGCTCCCTCTCCCAGGCACGCTCAGCTTCCGGGTGGAACGGTCACCCGACGTCAGAATCCCTGCAGCCACCAGAGAAAGGGACAGTCACCCTCTGCTGGACACAGTGACAAGGAGGGTACAGATTTTCCAAAGGGAGAAACAACCAGAGGGCACACAAGGATGAGAGCTCAGCCCTGGTGTGTGGGCT